TGTGTGTGTGTGTGTGTGTGTGTGTGTGTGTGTGTGTGTGTGTGTGTGTGTGTGTGTGAGTACTTGCAGACTCTAGTTCACAAGAAACTGAGTATCCTTGAGGGAAAATGGCTTCACAAAAGCCTTTGAAATTCTCTGCAATGGAAAAAAAAAACTACCTTGCTACTATCTTGCTTCAGTGAATCTAGGTAACACATACACTAAGATGCATGCATGCACCCATAAATGCACCTACATAGACTCTCCCACAGACAAACGTACGCACACACACGAATGTACAGACCTTGTACAAACAGCCTCGCTGTTTTCCTATCAACGCCCTGGAGATCACAGGTCACTTCTCCCTGGTCGTGTCTCTCTGTGTTATTCAGGACAAGCATCCATCCGTCTTTCTTTTTTTCAGCCATCAGACTCATATTCGTGTTGGGGGATTGCAGGACACCATGTTTATTAGAGATAGTGAGTGCTACCTCACCATTCAGCAGCCAAATCATAGCAGTCCACTGGCTGTTAGAAGGAGTGCAGGTAAATCTGGCCTTTTCCCCTCTCAGGACCGTCAGCTTTTCTGGGAATAGTTTTATTTGAGCTTCAACTGCAAAAAACCAGCATAAACAAAACATTGTCTGTAATTTATTTGTTTATTTTACATCAAGTTTGATCTAGAAATCTGTCTGAAATTATCTTTGAGATAAGTCAAACAAAACAATTCTCCAGAGCATCACTTCTTCCCACTGCTGAAGTACTTTTAAAGAAATATTTGAACATTTTGGGAAACAAACTTACTGGCTGTCTTGCTGAGAGTTACATGAGAAAATCTATCGTACTCAAACAGCAAGCAGCCGTGTAGCATAGCTTAACATAAGGGCTAAATTCATGGGGGAGCAAGTAGCTTCACTCAGTCCAAGAGCAAGAAAAATTGTCTGCCAAAATATCTAAAGCATCACACACTGTGTATCATGTAATCCAAGAAATCGCTTTACTTTTTTTGCCTGATGCATATTGGCTGCTTCAAAACCAGAGTTCACATACAGCATGATCACCCACTGGTAGTTCATTATTTAAAATGGAGTCATGAATTAGTCAACTAAAAAATATATTTTTCTTTTTTCATTTCATATTCAGGGGATAAACACAAGTTCAAGATGAAGACATTAAAACATTAAAGAATAAACAAAATAACCAGAAATGTGACACTACCAGGGTGAAAAAGACCCCTGATAAAATAGCCCCTGGGATCCCTGGGACACACAAACCCCTCCACCATGATAAAGTACCGATTCAAGAAGATAAAATTGCTTTAAAAAAAATGTAACATGTAAAGAGAATGAGTGCGAGACAGTAAGAGACAACACAACTCCCTGATTTTGTTTGTCACTTTGGCAAATTCTTCTTATTAATAAGTTTAACAGTTCACATGTCGACATGTAAACAACGGACAAAATAGAGATACACTGAGTTAGGAAGAAAGAGGGACACTGAAAAGATATGGTTAAAGGAAGAGGGGTTTTGGATGGTTTCTGTGTCAAAAGTCAGGCATTACCCTCCAAAAATAATTGAGCTTTCACCTCAATTTAACACATCATTGGACCAGTGAGAAACGTTTGGGGCATTCACCAAAGAAGAGGGTCTCATGCTAATAGAGATGTAGCCAAAATCTTTCATTGTTTGTCAGGGAATGAGGTCCGGTCCATTGGGACTCACAATAAGAAAACACCGGAGTAACACATTTTAACAATAACTACATATAAAAACCAACAATGATGAGATAAGTGGGACAAAAATAGATGACCACATTCAAGATGAACAAATGTTAGGGCGCGTTTTTCATCTTTCTACAAAAAAATCACCCAGACACAGAAACAAGGATGCAAATAAAAACACAGTTGAATTCCAGAATGTTTTGTGGCTTTCCGAAGCCGAGAGGTAAAAGAAAATAGGAATTAATATTAATGGCGAACCTCGAAACGTGACGTTTATGGCACAGTGCCCGGGGTGATGTATAACTTGTTTGTGGTGAGATAACTGCACCTTCTACAGCCCGTGTGCCGAGTTGTGAATTATGCATCCATTTAGGAAATTAGGTCTGAGAAATATCTAGGCCAGCCTATAGAGCAGTTTCTTTTCATTGTTATGAGAGAATGTCAAACTAATGAGCATAATTTCTGCTTCCTCCTGTTGGGACCATGAACTAGTGACTCTGAAGTCCCCTGACCACTGGGTACATCTAATTGTTAACTAGACAGGCAGCCATTCTTAAGAAAATGTATTACAAAGTGAAGATAGATCATTAGGCCCTCTAATTATGGTCTGTGGTTTTAATCTGACGGATGCTGCTAACAAGCACAGCACACCAATGAATGAAGTTGTTAATTCGAGCACATTACTGGTCTCTGTGTCACATCCCCAGACAAACAAACTGTGCTTGTTTTCAGCTGAACTCTCACCTTCAGTCCTCCATGACAGTAGGAGCACTAACAGAGGGAAGGTGTCCATGACTGATCAGTCAGTCCAGTCAGTCCATTATTCAAAGCAGAACGATCCTGAAACAACAGTGATTCTGTTATTCCCTTAATGGATGCAATGGTCAATCATAATTGCATGTTTTTAACCATGACGGCTATCACGATAGTTCATTTTTGACCACAGAGGAATATCAAAACATTTATCATTTATTCATGGTTCCCAGCATATTAACCCTCATTATTATGATGATCATGCAACTTCTAAAGCTTTCTGTTGCCATCTGTTGTGAATATTTTAATGCCTCCTTGATAGATACGTACAAAATTTTGCAAATATATTCATTGTTTTAAGAGGTTGAACAACTTTGAGGCTCATTTGGCTTTTCCTCTCATGCCAGCAGCAGGACAAACACTTTCTTCACGCTTTAAAAATATCTCAGATTCTCTACTAGATAGCTTGGCAGAACAACTCCACGGTTCTTAGAGAAGGAAACCATGACAGCATTATTAGTAACATTAATACGAATTCTATTAACTCCTTCCAGCACCTTAGAAATGCCTGAACCTTCCACAGTTAAATATTGAGGTCAGAAATTAAATACATTCAATTTACTGCCAGATTCCTCCTTATTGTTAAAGCTCTGATCTGCCTCCACTGTCTGTACTTTGTGTTAATTTTAGAACTCCAACACAAAAAATGATGAAAAGAAAATTGTGACAAAATGTCTGTTTGTTAGATTCAAACCCTGTGAATTTACACTTTTTAAAAAAAATGAACTCGGAATTTATTTAAATTGAAGGCATCAATGCAAACAGAGCCAACCCGAGTTACACAAACTGTAAATTAAGTCTGAATAAACCTGTGATAAAGCTCTGTGCTCTCTCTAACACAGGTGCAGCGATCGCTACACGCTCAGAATAAACACCATCTTACCCCTCAGGTACAGTGTGAGCTACTCGATCAACTGCACTTGCCTCCTAACCATTCCTTTCTCAAACGATCCAAAGCAGCATTTTCAAAAATCCAGCTGTGTAATATTTCACTCACCTTGATCTGGAGTTTCTGTGTATGAGAAGCAAACAATGTCATCGATGTTTTCTAATTCCACTTCATGCGTGGTGCTCAGCCATGTCACACCAAACTGTCCCGTTAAATATTACCAAATTCAGTGGGAACTTTGGCCCATGCTGCACACACACACGTGTAAATACACAGTGTGGGAGAGACTGCAAATATTGCCCATTGTAATTCCTCAGATCCCAGGGGCCTTACAGAGTCCCTCCCTTTTCAAATTATTGAATTTAAAGGATGATGTATTTTTATTGGAACACAGTAGATGTTTGATGGATCACTTTTTTTATAAAAGCGTGAATCTTTTGTTTTTGGTCAGATCAAGAGAGCTAACACATCTGTAATTAATTTTTTCTTCTTTTTTCTTCTACATAATTATCACATTTCATGACAGTTGTCAGGCAAATACTGTAATTTTTACTGTATTAAATTTTTTAACAGTTTTAGTTATTACAGTGCCCCCCACTCTAACATGCAGATCAATTTATTTATTGAACTTTTATGTACTATGTGCTTCCTTTCTGAACTTTTGGTTGATATTCTGTCTCTCCATTAAAATTAAACATAATAATAAAACACTTTTCCTTTCTTTGTAAGTGAGCAATCTTACAAATGCAGCAGGAGATCATGTAACTATTTCCCCCACTGTAGTTATTCATTGAAAGAATTTATCTGTGGCATTCCTGCACACATTAGACGTTGGTGAATACTGGGCATAGTAACAATGCCTATCCTGTAAAGCCTGTACTGCACATGCCTGACCCTTTTTTGATCATCTATCTAAAAATAACACTGCATGTTCTCATCCACCTCTACAAGAAAATCTCATGGGACGAGGCATTTGTTTTCCTGTTGACCCCTACACTCCCCAACATGCACAATAGCCCATTCTTCTTTAAATATGCCAACAAAAGAGTTTAAATAAAGATCCACTGAGAACGTTTTTACGAGTCCACTTTATTTTCATTTCCAACATCTCAGCCACATCTCACTCTTCGTTCAACAAAGTGCATTGATTAGACAGCATTTCTGGCAGAAGTAGCTGTGGCGGTGGTGGAGGGGTTTGCAGTCTTGCAGCATGTGTCTATTTCCTTTCTCGCTGCCATTAGAAGTCGCAGTTTGAATTTACACACTCGCCGTTAGATAAGGCATGAAGTTAGGAGCACAAGAACAGAACTGTTATGAAAGAGAGTGACTTATGACACTTTGAATCTACAAGCCAGGAGTCACAAGCTAGGATATGCCAGGATTTCCTCCTTTTTTTTTCCTTCATAGGTCGTCGGCCTTTTGTGTTAGAAAACTAGAACTTCTACAAGTACAACATGGGAAAAGGGTCTGAGTTTAACAAAACCACTGTGCATTTTACAAAAAGCTGCTCATGGCAAACAACCAAACCAACACCGCTAGGCTACTCTGCTCGTTTTTCATTACAGTATGTCTGTACACGCAAAATATAAAAATTAAGTCAACATTGCAGTCAACAGGGAAGGGTGTAAGGCAAATGTGGGTTAGGCGTTTTCAGCTGGGATGGAGCCTTCAAGCACATGACCAGTGGTTTCCAGTAGGGTCATGTGCTGCTTTGCGGAGACGTAGAGGGGCTTTCTGATGGGGCTGAGGGGGGCGGGCCAAGTGTCAAGGGTCAGGAAGAGATGGAACGGGAGGCTCCTTCGGGCTGCGACACAAGAAAAACAGATGACTAGAAATAGGTCACACATTACTGAGTTGTCCGTGGTGGCTGAGGAAGACACCACCATCGCCACGCCTGTGCCACCCAGCGTGCCGGCACCTCCTGAGGCACTTCTGAAGCTCACTTAACAGCTTTCACAAACGAGGCGTGACAGGGGCTCGCAGGGGCTGGCGCACAGCTTAGAGAGGAGGGAGGGGAGGAAGGAGAGTGGGCACTGCCACTCTTTCAGGGCCAGCTCTAAAGCTATTCCTTCAGTGGGACATAGAGGCCTTAAACACACAAAAGAGCTAAAAGAAGATTAGAATTTTTAATCACCACAAATATCTTCATTAGTCCCACTGACTCCGAGGGAAAAACAGGGGATAGTGAGATGCTTTGGTGGTGGATCTAGGTGATCCCCAGGCATGCTGTGTACCCACTGAAGCTGTTTGCAGATGAGTCAACAGTGGCAGTCCTCTGCAAACACGCTGCAGCAAGTGCAGGTTAAAAAGATAACTCCTTCCAAACACCAAGGTGAAGTAAGCAGGATCTTAGCGCTTTAATGAAAAACTTGCCTGTTTTAGATATTAATGCATGCCACTGCATCATGCATACAATACAGGTTGCGTAACTGTATTTTGCACAGAGCTTTGTTAACAGGGTCAAAGAAGCACAAAAAAAAAGAAGGAAAAAAATCTGTACTGAATGCAAGTTTATCTTTTTAATTAATCTGGTTACATAAATGCCAAAGAGAAAAGCAACACACAGAAGTTTCTATCCATTCTTCTACCGAGCCACATAACATCGCACTGCCCTCCAGTGGTAAAGCAGAAGCACCGGAGAAAAGCAGAGGGTTTTACCTGGAGAGCAGTAAATCGACATCATCAGCATCGCTCAGCTTCAACTACTCCGCCTCTTCTTCCTGTTAGAAGACAAAATCATGTATTGATAACCAACACACACACACACACACAGAAAGCAGAGACACGTGGCAGTGGTAGAAGGTCGGATTAAAATCTGTTTAAAGTGCCTTTGTGTATTCTATTCTAATGTTTCTAATGGTGCAAGCTTTAATTTGTGGGGAGAAAAAAAAAAAAAAAAAAAGAGATCCCAATGATAGCTGAGACTCTCTCGTTGTTAAACCTTTTACCTGGATGCGTCTCATCAACTGGAGAAGGATTTGTGGGATTCAAAGTGGAAAGACTGCAGTTGTTTCTTAGTTTGTTGCATAAATAAAACAAAACTTTTTGAATTGCAATTTAAAAAACAAACCCACAGTCTTTACTATGAGTGAGCTACCAAGATGTGTGATGTGTGTTTGTGTCGCACACAAAGATCTTCCCTCTTTACAACACTGGACCAGGCATGGCAAGCACAGGCAGAAGACCACATGTGACAAACTGCTGTAATACTACCTGTGTTTCTTCCAACTCTTCTTCTTCTTCCTCTTCCTCCTCCTTTGAAAAAAAAATTAAAAAATAAAAATAAAAAAAGAAGAGGGAGGGGCTATGTGAAGTCATGGCTTAAATAGGGAGAAGGTGAGACGACTTCCCATGTTAGTGGCTGTGTTAAGGATGGGTTAAAAATGGAGAAGATGTCAAGCGTGGGCAGTGGTGATGACAGCAGGGTCGGAAAAAAAACTGAGGAGACTAGTGATGGAGTTCTGTTTTTAATGAGATGACCTAAGTGAGACAAGAGTGGTGCTTAAGCAGGCGCACCGTGTAAGATGAGGTTAAACTGCGTGTCACGTGTTTTAAGTGTTACCACTCAAGCCACGAATGCTGTTCCTGGTTAGTCTTGAAGTAAACAACACGCTCACCGAAGTTATCTATTATTCGATCCTACAACCACTTTATTCCAACAGGTGACCCAAACTAAGAGAGCAGTAAGCCTGGAAACAACGCAGTGTGTCGTCTAACGTGAAATGTTTTTTCTTTTTCTGAGTATTGCATGAGAACAAGATGTGCTCCGTCTCCTCCATCTTCTTTGAAACTTGTCACATCCACTTCACGTCCACTTTCTTCAGATTGCTCTTGGCAAAAAAGGAACAAAAGCCATGGCTTCTTTAAAAAGAAAAAAAAAAATGTCATCCTGTCAAGTCAGTGCGCCCCATCTCCCAGTACAACAAAACCAAACATGTCCGAGTTATCCTCACGTGCGTGCAGGCCAAGTTTTAAAAGAAGACAACGGAACGTTCAAGCGTTTTTTTTAGGTATCAAAACTAAAAAAGTGAAAACGTCTTGGCAGACTTGCAGAATGTTTCTCTGTGAAAGTTTCATAAAAGTTTGCTCCAACTCTGAACAACCTCATCTTTGTCCTGGCTTGTTTGAGGCCATATGAGTTATACTGCACACAATATTCACTGAACCAATGACAAGTACGATCTTGAGGAGAGAGAGTTCGCCTGAACATGTGCACACAGTCTTTCTCTGCAATCGGATCATGCATGAAAAGAAAAATCCCAGTCTCTGTGTGATTCACACCATGCAAAACTTATACAAAGATTCTATAATCCAGATATACCTCTTGCACTTCAGCCTCTTCTTCCTCCTGTGGAACACGAAATCAGGCAGTTTTGAAAAAGAAACCAACATTATGGTCCATATGTGACTCGCATATCTGTTACTACATGAAATCCACCTTTAAGATTTAGGTCAAATATGATCAGGTTTATCATGCTGCAAACCAGCAGGCATGTCCATGGAAAGTGGACCTAAAAGTCCATGCAGCACACCAAAAGAAAGAAGGAGAAAGGGAGAGAAGGGCAAGTCTGTCAAGCTTTAAAAAAATTAATTAATTAATTTAAAAAAAAATAAAAAAAGTAGAACCACCAGAAACTACAGCACTGCCTTGTTCGTCTTGCTCCTGCAAGAGAGGTTGGACAAGGACAAAACAGATGGGAAGGAAGAGCGGAAAAACGGCAGGGCGAAGCACTGAAGCATAAGCAGCGTAAACTCAAGCAGAGGCTGGAATGTCTCTGAGAAGCAGAGCCCTTTTCACACAGCACTTAGAACCAGACTTTTTTTTTTTTTTTTTTAAAACAACTTTTTGAACCAACTGATTATTCATTGTGTTGGTGTGTTGCAGGGGGCAGAGTCTGATTTAGGGAATGGTTAAAGTGTGGACTCTTTAGAGGAGCTACCCTTGAGATGAGCAACGCTGGGTGAAAAACCGGCTGGGCTGACTCACCAGACTTCAAACCCTGTCCACAGGGTGCAGACTGAAAAACAGTGCGAGAGCAAGTGTGTGAGTTTGCTTTTTGAAAGTTGGGTCACATGAAGTTGAAAAGTTTTGGGGATGTGTCCTGACAGGCAAAATCCAGGGCAAAAAAAGGCCCACAAAGCACTCTTTCAACATAATGACATAACTGAGGAAAATGGATTATTACATTGTTACCATGATTGTCTTTTAATGAGCCCTATATTGGTCATTTCTTTATGAGAATTACTTCAGGTGCTGTATTAATCATCACTCTGGATGATACATCTTTGACTTTGACTTGTGTTGTTTTTTTGGTCTTTTAGCATTTTACTCTGACCCTTTGTTATCACAGACACGAGGCGACCAATTCATTGTTTCTGGCAAAAGACAAAATATGCTAATAAATAGTGAAATACTAATCATTGAAGGAATGCTTGAGGTGTGAAAGGGATTAATAATCTGACAAAGTAATGAGTCACTAAACAAAAACAACAAAAAGAAAAAAAACAAGACAAACTCAGGAAGGCTAGAAGCAGTTTAAAATAAAACATGAATCTACCTCAAGCTGTCGTAGCTCTTCTTCCTCCTAAAAAAGAAAAAAAAGAAAAAGAAAAAGTAACAGGCAGCAGGTCAGCCGGCTGTGTGGGGAGCAAAAGAGCACAACAGGCATGTGGTATGGAAATGTCTTATGATTTCAAATGAAACTATGGGAACAGTCGAAGTTGTCAGGAAGCAGCTAGAAAACTGGGAAGAAATGAGGAACGGGATGTTAGCAGAAAGACAGGAAAGGTCAAAAGAAAACTTGAGGAGATAGTAATAAAGAGAGAGCAGAAAGAGGGGTAGACAGGTGAAGTCTTCAAAGTTGGCAATTTAAAAGGCAGACCAAGACCCTCCCAAACCCATCTGGACGACCTTCCCTGATATCTGCACCATCAAACCCACACTGCTGATGACTGTATGGAGGAACCGCACAGAAAGAGACGAACAGAGAAGCACAGTTACCTCTGACTGCAAATCCTCTTCCTCCTGGAGGGAGCAAACCAAGAGGGCAAAGGAGTCAAATGTCATACAGCGTGTGTGTGTTTGTGTACACGAGGAACCAGCAGACACAGCTCTGATATTGATGCATCTAGACCAGGGGTGTCAAACACAAGGCCCGGGGACCAGAATCAGCCCCGCAAAGACCTCAATCAAGCTCATTGGGGGAAATGTGAATTAAGGCATAAATATTGGATTTTAAACTGTATTTTACTAAGTTTTGCTGCTTTTCCTACAGATAAAGACCTTTTAGCATTCTTGCATTTACTACAGCAGCATTTCTTTATTGTGCATAAAAACTGAGAAATACTGAAATTAATTTATATTAAAGGGGATTAAATGCGTCGTTAAACTGTATGTGGGCTGTATGTTGGCCACAATGTAAATTGAGTTTGACCCCCC